GATTTGGAAATTATAAATAAAAACAAATGCACACGAAACACAGACTTTTACCACAATATGATAAATTTTTTCAAACCCCTATCCTTTTACCAACAAAGGAATGAACCGCTGGATGTGCATCGCACAGAGAACCATAATACCTATAGAATAAATACATAGCACAACAAAGATCATAAAAAAACAACGATGATGAAACATACGCTGAGAGTGACGCCCAATTTTTTGGTGATTTCTTTTTTGGCGAATCGCAAAGGAAGTCCCTTGCACCGCCAGTTGTCAACGCGTACAATGCTTTCCGAATATGAGGAAATGCAATGCCACAATGCCTCAAGGTCCTATGCGATAGGTTATTGCTGGAGTGCAGCGCCATTTCGTGAGAAACATTGGTATTACTCGAAACTACATATTCTAGATAATATACAGTTTGGTTCGCTGCGGGTGATGGGGCGTGTCCGCGGCGCCAGCCCGATCATTTCCTTTTTCATTCTACAGGCGACAGGACTGTATAATATCGTTCGTATCAGTCGTCTTTCACCAGTTGTTGTCACTTTAAGAACTCGTGGAGAGTGGATTGGCGGCGTGCCAAACGCAGCCGTGCAGACACGCCCTCCGCAACGAACCGGACTGTTAGCACATTTGGACAATACTTGTTTCAGGAGTAACTTGCCTTACTAAACCACGATTCCGGTGCACTTTGAACAGCAAAGAGATAAGCACTGGATGCGTTAGTAGAGGGAATGAGCGCGACAAGATAACAATACATAGACTAGCTACGACGCGGCTGTTTTTCTCACGGTACAAAATGATCGCCGGTTTGGAATCAGTTCGCTCCCAAAAAAAGCAAGAAGATTCCAAATCAACATCATGAAGAGAACTCGTCATTTTTTTAATGTGCAGTCTACATGAAAGAAAAACTGTGAAATAGACATCTAAGACGTAGAAAGGTAACGGACTTGTCATGACGTTTCTTTGGAATAAATCACTTTTAGCGAAAAAGCAGCAGATCTCTCTATAGAATAATTATATTGATATGAAATGATCCTTACAAGCCGTCCACCGTGCCCAGGGAGTAGAAGTAAAGTCGCGAATCCTGATAGGCTAAGCAAACAGAATCTATTCATACATAGCGATGAGGTACATCATAAATATTCCTGCTAGAATAGCAAAAATTTCACGTAAAGATTGTGCTGTTGAAGATTTTTCAAGGAGTTCAGGGATAACAGAAACGGTCGCTATATAGATGAATCCTCCAGCTGAAACAGAAACAGATGATCATTTACAGTAAGCCTTGACTCGTGCGCAATATCTGCTTGAACAAAACTTCCAAAAAAACTCTCGTTAGATAGATCCTGTCTCGCTCGCCCTGTATCCGGCCATGCTGCGAGAGGGGCTTGCCAGTTTTCTTTCTTTAGTAGAAAACTGGTAACTTGACCGTCGCTGCTAGTCAGGATCAGGAAGAGCGCGGTAGGACATACGATGAGCAAGGCAGGATCTGGGACCGAAATTTTTTGCGAAATCTTCCCGGGTGTGCCCCAGGCGCTTAAACTGCCCGTTTTATCTGAACAGATGTTGACAGCGCACTTACGTCTAATAATTACTACACCATATTATCCCCATATTGCAGGGAGGCTTTTCAGGTAGCGTGCCCATTTCCGAAACCATATAGAGGTTCATGAGGGAACCAGGAATCAATTCACTTCCGCTGTGCGCTTCTGAGAAGGGCCAGAGAAAGGGTGAACAATAGGCTATGGCCCAAATCCCGTAGGTGGCGAATTTTGCATTCCTCCAGTTTTTTCCTAATGTTCATATAAGTCTGAATGCTTTACGCCCGAATCTTTTGTACGAAAAAACAGATGATCAACCAAGTCCACCATGTATTTGTGGTGATTTTTGTCGGCGCATTTTGCCATTCTCAGAAGAGCGCACCGAACTAGAACTGCCCATTCGTGGTTCCCATATGTACCTCTACAACATGCAAAGAACCGTCTCGGAAATGTACTTCACGGTCTCACAGACCTTCCTTATTAGATGAATCGACAACTCAGCAAAAGGGGTTCGATCATGAAATTACGGTATCTAGATCGGAGTGATCGGAGAATAGTCAAAAATATCGGAACGGTCGACTCGAGATCTCTGATGGGTCGCACACGTGGAGGCATATGAAGAGAAGAACCTACCTGTGAAAGGAAGGATCCAACTGCTGGCCGCGGAATCAGCAAGAGCAGATGGATCGGCAACCCAGAGTGCTAGAGCACATCCAGAAAGGGCTCCGATTGCCGTGAGAAGTTGGATAGCCATTGCCTGTAATAATTTTATATTGGGTCATATTGTTCTATGCGATATCTAGGTCTAGGACAAGATGAGCACACCATTGCATGAAAAAGCTCCCAATAAAGATCGCATGTACTACAATGGATGACAAAGGGTCTTGCTTAGGAAAACAAATTTTCCACTAAGAGATTGTCTCCATTACTCCATTTATACGGACCAAGTATCCTCAAAGGACATCTCGTCCAGTAATGACTGAACTACACAGTTTTCGCCCACATCAAATCTATTTGTGGAGGATATGATTACATTTCTTTGGTATCTTTTGTATGAGAGCTCCTTCCAGAAACCTGTCCTTACCTTTCCTTTAGTGTATCCAGACTGTATTAGAATAGCGAAATCTCCAATCTCATGAGGTACCTCATGAACGAGAACAGTGACCATTGTAACTAAAAGCAAAACATCTATTTAGTTGTTCTCTATGGGGCAGCAATGTAAATCCAAAAAGTCAGCAAATAAAAACTTTTTCTCACAGAAAAAGAACCCATATTTTGCAAAAATTGCGGAACAGTATGATGCTAAACTTATATAACACCCTGACCTCATCCAAAATTCGACGGTGCCTAGGGTGCGTCACATCTACTCATGGAAAAAGGGATGAAGTACCCCATTTCATCGATCTTTTTTTGGTAATGCACCACGCCAAGAATAGTAGTGGACTGAATGGCATGGGGCCTACGCAGTGACTTCGGGCCAGCCAGTGCGCAAAAGAATGTTCTTACCTTTCGAACGTATCTGGTGCCGATATACTGTTCCACGACTAAACGAAGGCTCTGTTGACCTGAGCGGAAGCCGATCAGAGATCCAACCCTCTCCCCCCCCCCTTCCCGGTACTCGCATTCCGTCTCACACATCACATTTTCAAATTCGACCAAATTCAAGAAACGCTTCCATACCGACACCAACAGTAGTCCCAGCAATGAACGAGGCACCAATCGCAAGACCATCAGTAAAGTTGTGGGCGAAATCAGCCACTAGGTTGAGGTACGCAGCGACCTAAACGTATGATAGAGGCAGCGTGAGCTAATAAAAAAGTGGTCAAAAGTGAATAGAGATAGCAAGTTGGGATTGCATCACCCACCTTGATTCTTTCAGATTTTGAAAACTCGGCTTCTTCCGCTTCCTTCTTCTCACTCTCCTTCTCGTCCTCCTTCTTCTTACTCTCTTTCTTGAGAGCTTTCTTGGCTGAGCTATCGGACTCATCCTCATCTGACTCAACATCAGAAAGCTTAGCCTGAAAAACTGGTGCTTCGTTTCCACGAAATTTGAGTTGGTTGGACGATTTCGTACGATTTAGAAGCTTGCGAAAGGTGATTGCATTAGACTGCCCGCTCAAGTCTGCGGCCTCATTCGCACGAAAAAGAAGTCTTGCTTTTGCCGACTGATAAGCCGAGAGTCCTGGGTCCACTTCCACACACAAGCATAAAGGAAAAGAAGCACAAGTGTTAATCAGTACAATGTGATTCGGGTTGGGAACATGATACTGACTGTAGATGAAGACCAATGCCACACGAAATGCACATGACGCCAAGCGCTAACTGCTGAGGAGAAAGCGCCTAGGAAACAATAAATACGCCAAGCGTTGGAAAATCAACAGTGAATTATAGGCCTCGCTTCACAATAGCTCAAAATTCTGACTTTTGTGAATCCATATCGTAATCCTATGCATGAACTCCATCTTCTCTGTTCATAAACACCCTCGGTATTATCATGACCTTTGCAAATTTAACTTATTCTGCAGAAGAGGTTGTTAGGTGGAAGATTTCATTCGAAATTGGCCTGACGTTTCGACAGGATCGTCGTCCTTAGAGGCCTAAACATAGCTCAAGGCTCAGATGCTCCACCCTCTACATCGATGGTGGACTGGTAACACCGCTTCTCTCATTTAGGGTTTATCGGTAGTTCTCCTGAAATTCCGTCATTAACGTGTACGAGGCGTTTGGCGGTGTACAGGGTATAACATCTAAACTTTGAGCTACATTTAGGCCTCTGAAGACGACGATACTATCGAAACGTCAGGCCAAATCCAATAAAATTTTCCACTTAACCTCTTCCGCCGATAAATTGAAACTGCAGAATTCCTATGCATAAAGTTTCCATTGTGACGTTGTTTCTCATCACTTCGAAAACACTATCAAAAAGATGTTCAGCTAGCGTTTGTCCAGAGCTCAGGGATTTTCACGAGGTCTGCACTTTTCACGAATGCGTGCTGGCGGTGGATATTCAGAGTTTGCCAACTGTCACCAGTCACAAACATCTCTGCTCGCGCCGCAAATATTGCAGCCATAAATCCACAAGAAGCACTCTCTGTACGACAAGGCACGAGACTGGTCATAGATGACGATCAACCACTTTATTTCTTGCCTTTTTCTAGAGTAACAACCAATAATAACAATGCTAATTTCTTATCCCTCCTCGCTACCTGCATGTGTATCTAGAGGTGACAGCATAACCCACTGTTTACAATGCCATTACAACGCAACTGGTATGCAGTGAGTGGTCATTCAAGGACACCAAAAGCCAAAGACGCATTCCGCGACTGCGTTGGTAGCGAGGTCAAAACTTGGTATTTGTAGTTGCAAATTGCCCTGACAGAGGGAAAATAGCGGAACAAATTCTTGGGAAACTAAAGCAAGGCCCAACTGATTTCCAGTAATGGACGAGCGTGTATTAAAAGACACCAAAACGCCACCGCGCGAGCCCCAAAGCAGCACGCAGTAAACTTACGCTTATGGGCATTGGGCAGGGTTCCCAGCACAATCGCTTAATCTGGCCACACATATGTCTTTCAGGATCGCAGAATGAATGTTCGAGCGAACAGGAGAATATGGATATTACTTGAGCTTTTAAAGTAGTACGTACCAGCCAATCTAATAAAGTCAGTAATCGTTAAGTTAAATAATTTTAGCAATTTCTGTAACGTCAAACCTTTTCGGATTTGGGAGCAGAGTGGCCGTGAGAATGCCCATGGCCGTGACCATCTTCTCCACGAACAATTCGAACGAATTTCTCGACTAGCAGGAATGCAATAATACCTTTAAGTAATACGATGTGAAGAAGAAATTACTCGATGAAAACAGAGGATCTCACTCGAGCCAATGAAACATAAGAGCGTACCTGCAAGTACCCATCCTCCCACACTCATATCATGAGGTTCATGTCCATGCCCTTCTTGATGGCTGTGGGAATGGGAGTGGGAGTGCGCATGAGAGCCGGAACCGTGAGGTACAGCATGAGGGATCAAATGTAAGAATGCGTCTCCAAGCAGACCACCTGAGCCGAAAGCCAGAAGAACTTTGAGCCAAGGTCCGTTTGAAGGGGAGTTATCCTACAAGTTGACAATGGAAAGAATTAATTGGGTGTTATTTTCGTTCATGTAAAAAAAGAAAGATAAGTGGAACTAAGATGAAATTCACCTGAATAGGAATGAAGAATAGAATGAAGCATGGTGCTGCAGCTAATTCAGGTAACGTGGACTCGCAATGGCAGGTGGACATCCAGAGGTTTGATTGTGTGGCTGCAGACTTCACGTGTTGGAAAAACCAATGGATCTACTAGCACGCAAGAAAATTGTTAGCGGTGAACGACAAGAAACTTACCGAGCCTTACCCTGGCCACGATTTTTGTGAGGGTGCACTTGTTCAGCATGGGAATGACTGAAAGCAGATTTCAAGTAACTTCAATGATAAAGGAAGAAGGAGAGGATAGTCGTTAGCAGCGATTTCTAATACATCCTATAATTCGAAATCGGGCCCAGCCTCCTAAATTAGGGAGAAGACTGAAAGGAATCGTGACAATATCTCAGCGCACAAAATAGAAACCAAAAAATTAATTCGGTGTATACTTTGCTAAATAAGAACCTGTGAGCATGAGCTTCTTGACGATGCCCGCCATGAGAATGTGGACATCCGCCGCCAGATTCGTGGGAGTGACCATGAGCTTCGTGAGAGTGACCATGGGCTTCGTGGGAATGACCGTGAGCTTCATGAGAGTGACCGTGATCGTCTTCCACTCCTAACTCGCGGGCTGCCTGAAACAAATCTCCATTGAACAAATATCAAAACAAGCGAATTTCACTCATACGAAGGCAAACTCGAGATGACTCGTGCAGAGTACATCAGAACCTCTGGGAAAGCTAAAGGGCGGTGCTCAGAGAGCCTGCGATGTTTCTTTGAAGAAGACAGTTCATAAACCAGTCATTCCAACATACGGACTCTTTCAGACTTCGCGATCGGATCGCGTGAGCGACTGGACGCGACGCGCGACCACGACCGGGTCACTTCACCGCCGGTGCACCGCAGCAACGGCGAAATTCAAACTGGCT